CTTGATGCTGGAAAAGACCTCGGGATGCCAGACGGGGTTCTTATAAACGGAAAGGGGCCCTTTAGATACAATAGCACACTAGTACCTGATGGCCTAGCATACGAAACTGTTACTGTTGATCCAGGTAATCTTCTCTTGGTACCTACTATATGGTATATCGTCATATGTGCCATCTGTTTTCGTTTCCCCGCTCTGCTCCAAACCAAATCCAACTTCTTAGCAAAATCAATTGTCCCCTTCTTCATTGTGGGTAAAATACGTTTTGACGCAGGCATCTATTCCCTATGAGGGTCCTCCGCAAGTTGAACTCAAAATAATTGGTGTCGGTTGTTCATCTACGATAACGATTGTGTATCTTGCTCAAACATACTGACGGCTAAATGTTGAGACAGATTTTGCCGGAGTTGAAATGTCAACTAGATAGCATGCCACTTTGGGTTTGGATTTCATCTTTTGTCAGAACTTGCATATGCCAAGACTTGTCCTCCATTTACATTTTTAAAAAATGAACTGAAATAGATTTCGGGGATATTATTTATATTCATGAAAATGTCAAAAGAAAAGAATAGAAGAAACACCAGCATAGGGGATTGTTAGGGATCATATGTTACTTTATGGTTTGAATCTTCTAATTGTGTATCCGGTTTGTTAAATTGGTCGCAGGTTGTCTTTGATCTCTTTTCTACTGGATAATCTGAGATATCGAAGCATTAATGATCCTTGACATGATTTGGCCAAAAAAACTTAGCCTTGATATTTTTTTTTTTCAGGAAAAACATATCGCATCCGAGTGCACAACGTTGGGACATCGACTAGCTTGAACTTTAGGATCCAGAATCATAATCTGCTTTTAGTGGAGGCGGAAGGCCATTACACAGCGCAGCAAAATTATACGAGCTTAGATATCCATGTTGGGCAATCCTACTCTTTCTTAGTAACCATGGATCAGAATGCCAGCACTGACTACTACATTGTGGCAAGTGCTAGATTTGTGAATGAATCACTCTGGCAGAGAGTCACAGGTGTGGCCATCTTGCACTATACTAACTCAAAAGGACCAGCAACTGGCCCTCTACCTGACCCACCTAATGATATCTTTGACAAGTCCATGTCTATGAATCAGGCAAAATCAATCAGGTGCTTTTTCATCTGTCTTTGATCTAGGATTGACTTTTATTCTAGATGATTAGTTATTGATGCAATAAATATTGAAACTGCAACATGCATCTTTGATAAATTCAAGTCTGATTCCATGTGATGCTGAAACTTTTGCATTGAGTCAGTCTTAACTTCTTCGTAAGTTAATGGAGTTGTTGAGGCAGTTAGCATGATAAGTTCAGTTTCAGTTTTTTGATCACCGAAATTTATGCAAATCTGCTAACTCAACAGTGAATGAGCAGACAAACAATACGTGACAGGCTTCTGGTCATGGCTATGCATTAAGATGTGACAGGCTTCTTGTGCATGGCGCATAAAAATCGTTGCAGGAATCTCAAGTTGTTTTTTTATTGAGCAGGCAGAATGTTACTGCAAGCGGAGCTCGCCCTAATCCACAAGGGTCTTTTCATTACGGTTCAATCAATGTGACTGATGTATACGTGTTGGAGAGTGTTCCACCAGTAACAATCAATGGGAAGCTTAGAGCCACATTGAATGGTATCTCATTTATCAACCCAGGAACGCCTATAAGGCTTGCTGACCGTTATAATGTGAAGGGAGATTATAAACTTGATTTTCCAAGTCAGCCCCTGGATCGACCACCCCAGATAGATATGTCTCTGTTAAATGCCACCTATAAAGGATATATAGAGATAATATTGCGGAACAATGACACCGTGATGCAGAGCTTTCATGTGAATGGTTATTCATTTTTTGTGGTTGGGTAAGCTTTCCTCTATACCTTTTACATACGATAACTCTTTTTGTATGCTGAACAGCAGATCAAATCTGTTAATGTTTTTTCCTGAATGTACTATGCTAGTACCAATGAAATAATGTGAAAGCTTTGATTTACATTTTCATGAACTTTAGTGAATGCACATTCCTCGTAGTAGTATTTTGACCACTAGTGAAGATAACTGTTTTTAAATTGCTTCAGGTCATGGAACTGCATGTTCATACACAAAGAGAAGTTGTTTCTTAATTTATGTAGCCATATTTCTAATTCATTAGAGGTGCAGTTCAAGTTAATTTCTCAAGGACATATATGTGCTTTTTCTATTGAGGTTTTAAGTTCATTTATAATGGGAATCGATCATATGATTGTAGTATGGATTATGGTGAATGGACGGAGAATAGCAGAGGCCAATACAATCGTTGGGATGCAATTTTCCGATCCACAACGCAGGTTTGTCTGGACTCTAGTTTTCATTAACATAGATTAACAATATCTCAAAGACAGGGCCGGACAATACTATGGCCGTGGTAGTTTTTTTAATTAACCTTGCGAAAAGATGCCTCCAGATATGTTCCTTCAACTTAGTGGAAAATGGTCCTTGTCATCGTTTAGTCGCTGTTTTGAATCGGGTGATTGTGATTACCTAATGTTCAAGGACTTTTTTTTCGCTTCCTTCCCTAAAGCTACTGTGTGGGTTCTGAGTTGGTTATGAATTCGAATTACTTAAAAGTCTATTTTGAAATATTTACTTTAGGCTTTTACAAGAATGTAATTAGTATGCAGACTTAGATAAGTTTTGGAACTGGAAGTTTAGGTTGGTTGATTGTCGTCGTAGTGTAAGTCACCTACCTTGAATTTTTCTATGAGATGCATCTTCAAGTAAGTTGATATTTTCATTTGTATCAAATGAAGGTTTTCCCTGGTGCTTGGACAGCAATCCAGATATCTCTTGACAATCCTGGAGTCTGGAACATTAGAGCTGAAAATCTTGATAGATGGTATCTTGGTCAAGAAACTTACATGAAAATTGTGAACCCCGAAGAAAATGGTCAAACGGAGTTGGCAGCACCAGACAATGTGCTATATTGTGGTGCACTTAAGAACATGCAGAAGTATATTTTTAGAAGCCTCTCTCTCTCTCTCTTTCTCTCTCTCTCTCTCTCTCTCTCTCTCTCACACGCAGCCACGCACACCCCCACGCGCATACACACAAGTGCGCACGTACTCATTTTGTACTATTTTGTTGAGACCTTTTTCTCTCACTGTCTTCAGGCAACAAAGTCACTCATCTTCAACCTCCAACATACCTGGAAAATTGCGACTGCTCTTTACATTCATGCTGGCACTTTATGTGGGGATTTTCTCTTTCAGCTGACCTTTCGTCTAATATAAAGAATTCCACAATGCCGTTCTGGAGGTGGCTTAGCTTACTATGCTGGTGGAAGAAGAATCTGAGGCCAATTTTTTTGTGTAACTGTTTTTGGATTGACAAATCACATGTTAAGGAGTTTAATTGAATCTTTAGGTGGGCATGCTCTCTCTCTCTCTCTCTCTCTCGGGTGTATTTTAGGGGTGATTTTGGGAATCCATCATTCTTATGTATCTTAATGTTACATAGTGATGATGACTAACCCATGCTGAATACAATTGATTTTATACAAAATTGTCTATGTGCTTTCTGCAGTCATGGTGCTCAACATGCTTTGATGTAATCTGTTCTTGTCGTGGTTATTATCCTCTATATATTTGATTTCAACAGGAAAAATGCAGAATACAACATCAGAATTGCCTCTCAAGATGTGCAATTTATATGTATGTGCTCCATGCTATTTCTACTCTATATCGCTGCAAAATAGAACCCTGTTAAATTGGAAGTCCTACTGTAGGCAAGTTTACAATTAGAGTTATATACGGAGACATAAACAGATTCATGGTTCCTTTGTATTGCATTTGGGCAGACTGCAAATCAGATTCCATTTCATCCTTGTTTCCGGTTTTATCTTTTCTTATCATTCGCAGCGAATACTCTTTATCTGTTGGAATTCCTATACACCTACAAATTATATCAAGTTCCATTGACGAAACAGTAAGTCGGTCAGGTTTTGGGCCGGGTCATAAATGGTCCGACCCAAATTGACCCATTTAACCCGTGTATGACCCATTCAGTGCAATGCAAATTTTTCGACCTATATCTGACCCATTGTGCTAAAATACTTTCATATTTAACCAAATATAGAGAAATTTGTTTCTTAGGACTTTTTCAAAAATTGAACGACTAAAACACTTTCATGCTAGTTGACAATTTTTATAATTTTTTTTGAGTTTTCGATTTTTTTTGTTTTTTATATTTATTTTTTTGTTTTCTTTCTTTTTCTTCTAAATTTGGCAAGGGCCACAGAGACCGGCAACAGCATTGACCGGCAGTCACGGAGACCGAAGATAGGCGACAGCAATGACTGACGACCTGAGATGACGGACCAGTGACCAGGACGACTGGTGGCAAATATCGGCGATGGCGGCGAAGACCGGAGATGGCGGCAACCGATGGTTCAAGTTAATAAATTATATTTGTCCCAAAAAGAAAGTTAGTAAGTTGAATGGGTATATATGAATTTGTTAAATGAGTTGAATATCGGTTTGCAACAAACCCATATAGACTCATATAAACCTATGCTTTAATGTTTCAAATTCATTTTGACCCATTTTAAAATTTTAAGTGACTCATATTCAATTTGGGCCCACTAAATCTGAGTTAATAAATGGGTTTGTGATCCATATTGCCACCTCTAGCATTGATGCATGAGTTTTTTTTTTTTAATGTTGAGATATTGATGCAAAGTGTCAGAAGGGAGTAAACTTGCGGATTATTGCATGATATGATTGTACGGCAGTACCTGTAGTGCCTTCATTTCAAAGTGATGATCCGAAACATACGCTAAGGACACAGAGCAAGGAGGAGACTCTCTTGTTTCTTTTGCATCTTGTAAAAAATATCAGGAATTTGGAAGTAGGAGAAGTCCAGGAGCTTTTTAACTAATGCAACAGAACCCACAAATCGATAATAATTTGCAAAAAAAAAAAAATTCTAAAAGACACAGCACGATATACAATCAAGAATCAATGATCACGTAATCATAAATACAGAGACATGGTCACAATCCAGAAGTGAATGGCACACCGGTCGCCGGTAACCATGATCCGCCCGCTATGAAACTGCCCACGGTGAAACTCGAAGCAGTGGCGGCACTTGTGATTACATGATAACCTGGCCATGTAACTCTGTTTCTGGTCGAACTTCCGGGTCCAGAGTTCCCATACTCGCCATAGTACAATGTGTTCCAAACAGAATTACTACCTGCCCATGTGGTCCAACCTGCAGGACTAACTAAAGAGCCGAGATACGTTTTCATGTATACTGTCCTTGAGTATTGCATCCATGGCCGTCCGAGGTATGTTTGGACGGCGTTTGTCGACTGCAATAGGTCGGATGTGGCTAGGACTCGCGAATTGTGGATTGAAATTCCCGTGTTCTGAAAGGGATCGTTGCGCCCTTGAGCAGTTATTACATTCGATTGGCCAAGCAATGGCTTCCTAGCGTAGATCAAGCAATTTTGGAAGACCACCGCTGCATTTCCAAAGATGAAGTCTATGGTGCCAAAAATGTAGCAGGACTTGTAAAATTGACGCTGTGAAAGCACCCACAGAGTGTCTTGGTATCCCTGGAAAGCGCAGCGGTAGAACACCGAGAGGTCGGATGCCGATCGCAGCGCAACTGCTTGCCCCTTTTGCGGACCTGCAGTGTTGACAAACGTAATGCCACGAGCTATAAAGCCAACGCCATCGATACCTGCAACCACAATAGAGCAACTTTGATCAAGTTAACCTCATTGAAGATTACAAAGAAAGCATTCTGGAATTCGAATCTTTACCAGCCGTTGCGGAACTATACGTAGTGTAACCTCCTCCAACACTTCGACTGCCCGTGATAATGGTGCTCTTTATGCCATCACCTATCATCAGGATATTGTTATTGTTATTGGCTACCTCTATGTATTCCCCGTAGACTCCTTTTTTCACATAGATGATGAATCTTGCAGTTGTGGAGCGCCTTTTTGCAGCCTCATCTAGAGCTGCTTGTATAGTTTGGAAATGCCCCGAGCCGTCTTTGGCCACCACGAGATTAGCCTTTATTGTGGAGGATTGCAGTAGTTTCCTATCATGACTAGACAACCAACTAGGAAATCCTTCTTCGTAACTCTCTTGTTTTTCATTCTGTAGCAAAACCCCGTTCACCGCCAAACTATTGCTGATCAGCTGCGATAAATTAGTCGACAGGGCTGGAGATATGAAGTCGGAAACATTCAGATCTTGAAATCCCAATTGGCACGCTTGAATGTTCGTGAGAGCCGTGCTGAGCCATGTTTGAGCGTCAAAGTTGCTGCAGTTTTTATGTGGCCCTCCTAGGCCTTCCAGGGTTCGGTTGAGCTGCCAAACCGTGTTATAATAAAGTTTCGTGCAAACGGACCATACCTGCCGTTGCCTATCAGTCGTGCAATTCTTGCTGAATTGCGATACATGCCACTGCGCATCGAGGGCTCGGTCCATGGTCACGTCAATCATAATTTGGCGGAACTCCGATCGGTCCTGCGGTGGTGAGCGGTCACGGCGCCGATGACCAACAAAATAGTTGCATGGCGGCGGGTGTGGCGTGTCGCCGCACCACCGGCTTATGTCATCATTGTTGTTGTTCCTAGAGATTGCTGAAGAAGGGAAGAAGAGTATGCATATCAGGCACACTCTGACGATCATATCCATCATGGTGCTCTGGTATGTGTTTCTTGTGGTCAATGAGTAAAGCCCGTATCAATATGAAGATATCTTCAATTAGGAGAACGAAGCTGCAATGATGAGTTGGCAAATGGGGAAGATTGCTTGACAAAGGAGAGTGTGTTTATAGTAGAGAGGGAGCAAATTTGACTTACAACTCTTTTGAGTAGCAATTCAGGCAATAGCTTTCTTTGTGACTAATGAATCAAATCCCAGATGTTAAAATAATGGTTACGAGATGACTTTCTATGCGGGCTGAGGAGTACAAGGAGAGGAACACTTGCAAAATATCTGCTGTATGGAAATTGCCAACTCAATGCATAAAAAAATGCAATGTTTAAGAAGCAAGTCATTCTACATATTTACGTTACAAGGAGCACATCATTATTGATCGTTAGCTTGTGCCCAAAGAAAAGAAGGCAAAAAAGAGAGAAGGAATATCTGCGCGGTAAATCTCATTTCATACCGATCGAGAGAAAGATGGGCTCGTAGCTGCTCTGTCCGGAAGGCATTAATGGAAGATGTGGTTTCACAACTACATTTGATCTCAAGATCACGTGTGCAGGTGCCATCCAGTTTTAAGAAAACAAAAACAGAAACGGGTAGAGATTCATGTAGACTTGATGCACATTAATGTACGAGTAGACTTTGGGACACATTAACTCACGACATGTTCCTTACGTTACTGATTTACTGAATATCGTTTGCTCAGAAGAAGGGATTAGTTTAAGGGTCTGTATATCCTTCTGGCAATGGACGAGTTGTGTATATTGCTTCATATGTATATTGGAAGCAAGAGTTGTTTGAAGGGGTTTAAGGCACTTCCATGTTACTCCAGAGCCGACGGCCAAATCCGTCAACAAACTAGGGCTGCCCATGTGCTCTTTCATTGGTCAACCACGCGTATCACCGCCCAAGTGTTCCTCAGGATAGTTATACAGCCAAAATATGTAATGCAATGCAAGCAACATCATCTCTCTTCTCATTAGACTTTTCTTGGATACACTGAAATCAAGGAAATCTCTTCAACAGACTAAGTACAATACCATGTTCATATACACCTGTTTTCCTCTAAATTCAGTTCAAAACATGTATGTGGTTCTTCATAGATGTTTGTGTGGAGTCTTTCACGGATGAAGTTCTTGATACAAGTCCTTTTTCATTCCCCCCAAGTAGGACATATTGAATTTGATAGGGTAACTGGTAAGGTAAGATGCATATCAATGCAACTACTACAGTTGGGTGATGGTATTAAAATCAAGGAACATCATTCATGTATGTGGTTCCTCAGAATAGTTATACAAGCAACATCATCTTTGTTCTCATTAGCCTTTTCTTGGATACACTGAAATCAAGGAAATCTCTTCGACAGACAAAATACAATACCATGTTCACACACACCTGTTTTCCTCTGGAAATAGTTCAAAACATGTATGTGGTTCTTCATTGATGTTTGTGTGGAGAGTCTTTCACGGATGATGTTCTTGATACAAGTCCTTTTTCATTCACCCCAAGATAGGACATCTTGAATTTAATAGGGTAAGGTAAGATGCAGATCAATGCAACTCTACAATTGGGTGGTTTTAATACAGTCAGTGGTCAACTTTCTTTTGAATCTTCATTTCACCTCGAGATTCTTCAACCTATTAATTAGCTATACGGTTAGATCTCGCTGTAATAGAAAGCACACATATCAGGAGGCGCAACATCATTCTTTGTGAAGGATATCACTATTCAGCGGCTGCGATACCAGTTAAACAGTTTTAGTTCGGGTGAAGAATATTAAACTAATCTGCTATCTGACGTGAATTAATTCGCATCGAAACATCATCTGCATTTCCCCTTTCTTTATCAATTGTTGGACCAATCGAGAAGCGGTCGAGTTACTGCTACATCGATGTAGGTGCGGGTGTGGCAGATCCTAAACAAGTTGTTTAAGCGAAATGGGATCTCAAGAAGTTGTGCCAAATCGCTCGGTGATCAATATTCTGTAAACTTTTGCCTGGAGATGACAAGCTCAGAGGGCTTCTTGCTAGCAGTAGAGTTACCCCCATAAAGCCCGTCGACCTTCTTTTGCATAAGCAAGGGCCAATTGGGCCCAAGGGTACACTAGAATTGGAATAGTATATTTGGATCATCGAGAGCGCGCATGATAATCATTTTATTTCTGGTCAGATCTATTTTTCTATTTCTGAGAACATGTTTATAATAGAAATCCATTAGGTAACGCAATTTCATTTTTCTATTTCCAGAATAAATTTTTTTAGTCCAAAAATAGGTTTGGAACGTAAATGAAAAGTAAAAATTTTCTACTTTTCTGTTTTTGGAACAAAAAGGAGAAATGAAAACTCTTCTCGTCACTTGCCCTCGCCTTTTGCCGCATGCGACCGCTGCCCGCCGCTGGCCACTGCCACCCCCTATCGACCACCGCCACCGCCTTCTGCCACCTGTCGATGAATGAAAAAGAGCATAAGAGAAGATATTTAAGAAGGCCTATCAAAGAGAAATTTTGTGTTGTTATCAAACACGTATTTCTGTTCAGGAACTCGTCTAGGGAATATAAATAGAAAAATCTATTTTTGGCCAATAATCTATTCCAATAATAGAATGGTTATCATTTGCGCCTAAATTACTAGTCTTTTGGGAAATTGTCCAAAAAGTCCTAAACGTATTGTATGACGGCCAATTCAGTCCTAAGCCTTTCAATTGTGCCAATTTAGTCCAAAGCCTATTGTACGGCAACCAATTTAGTCCTAGACCTTTCCACTATGCAATTTAATCCTATATCTTTTGACAATTTGCTAATTTAGTCCGAAACCATTTAACGAGTTGATAATGTAGTCCTTCTGAGTAATTATGGCTGAAAATCATCGAAGGGCTGCATTGGCAAATCATCAAAAATTTTATGATTAAATTGGCAAATCGTCAAACGGTTTAGAACTAAATTCGCATAATTAGAAGATTTAGGATTGAATTGGCCATTGTATAATAGGTTTAGAACTTTTTTGACAATTTTTCCCTCTTTTGGGTCTTTTTTCTTGTTGGAAATACTCGACCCAGACCAGCCTAGCTCGGCCCAACCTAAGGCCAAATTTTTGGGTATTTTCGATTCGGGTATTAAGTAAAGAAACTTGGGCATTTCTTTGGTTCGGGTCGGGTTTCCGTTTTTTCTGCTCTCTTTTTTCCCCTTCTCACTTGCATTCTCAAAAATTCTAAAAAAAAGCACCATATACGGCCTATTCTTTCTAAAGCATGTGCCATGCATGCGGTATTGTTTATAAACAACTCGTTTATTCACAAGTCTCGCGCAAAAAAGAATATTAATTACCTTGTAAAGAATGACCGAGAGACTCGTGTGTTATGCCATTAATGACGAGCAAAGAGAAGTGTGATTTTAGATATATCAGTTCATCCATGAAATCAATACAGCCAATGATGCGACCTACTAAAAGACGAATCATTTTCGACGTAAATGAAAGTTGGACAAATCATCTAAAACAAGAACTTTGACGAATTAAAAGGAGAACAACAGCCTCGCTTGCTTTAGTGTAGAAATGACATTCATCCTTATTGGCTGAAAGTCTTTTTTAATTTGAAAATGAAGCTAAAAAAATAGGCCCATAAAGCCACCAAACCCTAGCGAGTGGGATCGAACTCGAAGTGCTTCTCTCACAATCTCTCCCTCCATGATATTTATACAATTTATTTGAGTTGTGTGTGTGTAAGCGTGCTCTTTGATTTTGTCTTCATACTATTTAAATTCTGTATGCGTGTCTATGTATGTGTTTTGTGTGTGTCAGGTTGAGCTGTTTTTGGGGAATTGCAGATTTCTAGACCATCATCATGGATGAGCCTTTTCATTCGTGAGTTGATCACCATGTTGATTTTAGTTTTCGATGTTCGAATTCTCAATAAGTACAGCTATTGGGATTTTATTTGATAGCGATAACACATAGCAACAGAGATAAGTTATGCAAAAAAAAAAAAACAAACAAACAAATACACACTCGAAACCCAACCCGGTTCGACCCGACCCGACAACTTGGGATATATGTGGTTCAAGTATCAGGTCGGGTCGAGCACGGTTCCATGCCGGTTCGGATCAGGTCGGGTATCCAAGACCCTTAGTTGGAATGACTAACCATACTCGACCAGCCGCTTTTTGTTCAGCCCCAAATGTACTTCAGTGATTTAACTGCACAGGTCATTTGCCAAGCCTATTTTGGTTGGGTTCCATTCATTTTTTTCTGTCCTATGTTTCGGGTTTTTATTAGGATGCGGAAGTCCGCCATCCATTGGTAACTTTAGGCTTACAAAATATCTTGCTAATGTCATGAAGTAGAGTAGGCGCAAGCGAAATTCTCAGAGGATAAAACCTACCAAATGGTCGAGCTAGAGCAAGCTTAGTAGTTTGACGAATCATCTCGCCATCAGTCGGCGATGACATATGTTGTGTAAGCTATGTACATGTGGCCGTCAGGAGCTATTGCTGGATATACAACATATTCTCAATGATTGTATAATTATATCTTTCATTTTCACGTCACAAAACGTATATAGTGTTCCTGGTCGATGCATCGAACTTTATACCTACATATTGTCATTTAACCTTTTCTAACAGAAACCCGATAAAATATTTATTTATTAAATCACGCATTCATCTAACAATTTAAATATTTAAAACAGTCGGCAGTGATCCCGCAAAATCTCACATGGTATCAGAGCTGGGTTAAATATGCTAACAAAGCCTAAAGATAGGTGATAACTACATGTCCAAATAAACAGTTGCTCACTGCCAAAAATAGGACTTCATGCGTAGGAAGGATTACCCAAAAAAGTCTTAAACTTATTGCACTTGTGTCAATGTAGTCCTAAACCTTTCAATAGGGCCAATTCAATTCTAAACATTTTGACAACTTGACAATTTAATCCTAAACATTTTGATAATTTGCTATTTTAGTTCTAAACCTTTTAAGAATTTGCCAATTTTGGCCGAAATCGTTGATGTGATGGTCCTATTAGCGATGTCCATCCTACGCGGCACGGCCAGCGTTATCGTGGATAATTTTTTGCAATTTTTCAAAAAATTTCTCAAATTTTTATAATTCTTTTTCTTTTTCTTTTTCTTCCCTTCTTCCTCTAGCCGGTCGCCGGGTCTCAATGATAGCCGGCAAGGTTGAGCAAAGCTTGCCCTAGCCAACCAGTAGCGAGGGCGAGCCTCACTCAGCCACTGGCGAGGCTCGCCATCACCGGGCTGGCAAGGCCAACCTCACCAATGGTCGGCGAGGGCGAGCCTCACCAAATCTAGTGAGGTCAACCTCGCTAGCCATCGCCAAGACCTAGCAACCGGCTAGAGGAAGAAGGGATTGAAAAAAAAAAAAAAAAAAGGAAAGGAAAAAAATTATAAAAAATTCAGAAAATTTATTAAAAAAATTGCAAAAATTGTCTACGTCAGTATCGACCATGTTACGTACGATGTTGACTAGACTGTCACGTCAGCGATTCGGGCCAAAATTGATCGGAAGGATAAAATTGGTAAATCGTTAATAAGTTTAGAACTAAATTGATAAGTTGTCAAAAGGTTTATGGCTAAATTGACACAATTAAAAGGTTTAGGACTAAATTGGCATAAGTGTAATAGGTTTAGGACTTTTTGAGTAATTTTCTCGCGTGCGCACAGCTGTGCATCAAACGGGGAAAAATCGAATATTTGGAACTTCCAAAGAAATAAAAGTCCAGCAAACAATAGCTCCATTAGATTCAATTCGATCACTAGATACAAGTCTGCATATATGTGCACAAATTAACTTCAGCGCACCCGGAGGAAACAAACTTAACCTCATTCACGCATCTTATCGCTACCTTAACCACCGCCATCAACTCTTTTAATCTGGCGGCTCCGTCGAGATCTTATAGATCAACGACATAACACCTAGAGTTTCACAATCATATAATGTATATCCCAAGCGATTATATACCTTCTCTATGTATCTAGCTAGGTATGATTGACAAGTAACAATTACGGTCATGGTTCTGTAGCGCTAGGCATTAGCCATGTAGCGAGGCGTAACGATTGATCAAGGCCAAAGCATTACTGGTGAGATGCGCGATGGTCAGTATCTCATTCCTCACAACCGTCTTCACATTGCCGTTCATCATTCTCCCGGCAAAGCCGTCAGAGCACGTGTTCTCATCGGTGAGGGCAGCGCTCACCCACGTCTGCACGTCATTCATGATCAGCCCGAAGTTGGAGGACCTCTTCATCTGGCCCATCTCGTCGATGGACCGCCTCAGCTCGTCCACCGGGTCGCTCAGCTCTTCGACGCAGTCCTGCATCGCCCCAACCTCCCTCGGCTTCATCCCCCGGGCCTTTGACAGCCTCGCCATCATGGCCGAGGTTGAGCGTGCCTTGTCGAGGGTCACGGTGAGGGCGGCGCTGGCGAGGAGCTTAGGGCTCATCTGGATGAGGCTGGCGTGGCCGGAGAGGGAGGTGTAGCACAGGTCTGGGTAGGTGGTTTTACCGCATGATGTTCTTATGAACTCGATGTTGGTCGATGTTTGGGCTGAGCTAATTAGGGTGGTGTAGGGACATAAGGCAAGGCAAAAGAGGAGCGTCGTTGCTAAATTTGCTAGAGCACTCGATCTTTCCATCTCTCTCTTCTCTCTTTGTGACTGTGTTTGTGTTCGTGTGTGAGTGAGTGAGTTGAGTAGTTGAGTTAGGCGATGAAAGTGGGTAAGGAAGATCCCCTATTTATAGGGAAAGAAAGCAAACCCAAGTTGTAAACCGAACGAGAGCAAATAGGATATGCATGGGTCGATGGCTCCGTGAAGATGAGGGTTGGGAGGAAGATGGAGACTTGAAGCTGAATGATCTTTTGAGCATACAATCATAAAGATCTTTCGGTCGATAATATCATGCGAGTATATTATTGATGTTTCGTTTGTTTTGCGAAAAATAAATAATTTAAAAAATATATTTTTTAAAATAATCGTTTATATCGTTTGAAATAATTAATTGATAGAAAATATTTTCATTATTGATAACGGTTTATATTTATACATTTTCGTGAACGAAAAAATATTTTTCGTTCATTTATTTTTATAAGAAATGTAAGCGATAATTTTTATGAAAGTAATTTTTAAATTATTTATTTTTCTCCATACAAACGGAATCTGATGTTGATATTCTTGGGCACATCATCGGAGGGGCCTAATGATACTGTAGCATTTCGCGTCCGACTTGATAGGTGAAATGGAAGGAGGTACTACGTAGTACCCACAACTTGCATGTACCGGGTCCCATGGGTTTCAAGCTGTCTTCATGGTCACCTTTTAGTGAGCAAGTTCGCCGACTGCGCAACATCAAACTTGCCCTCTTATAGCTTTGAGAGTCCACTTGCAGAAGAGAGAGACAAAGGCATGGGTCAGTGGGCCCCCGCCTGGACACGTGATGAGCGTCGAATGGAGTGCCTTATCCGTGTGCATGACAAGATGGACCTACCTAATATTTTCTCCTAAGTATCTTCTCTCCAACGTGTTCGGTCTTCTCTCTCTTTTTATCGTGTTCTTTTGCCTAGGTCGGTTATCTTTCAGTCTTTTGGGGCTAAGGATCGGGCATCACTGGGATTTTCGTGTCCCTTCTTTGGCTTTAGTAATCAACCGCTAATATAAGAACCTAAGTTAAAAGAGAGAGAGAAAAAAAAAAACAGAAGATGCATAATCCGCAAACTGACGCCCCTATATAGAGAGCTTGAACATGAAGCCATATTGCCTAATCACCGACGCATGAAAAGCATTCCATTCGAGCTATCCCAAGATGAGATCATTCTTGATGAGTCTGCATACCAAGGATCGAAAATCTTATAACGCGCGCGTGACCATTTATGCCAATTTCTGTGGATCGATTTTGAGGAAGCAGAATTAAAAACATGAAGTACATGCCTCAGTTTTTTGCCTCTCAAGACCTTGATTTAAGCAGTGTTTAAAAAGATAAGGGTGAATACCACGAAAAATCCCAAACTGATACACATGTAATAAATTTAACCAAAATTAATTTTTTGACCATCAAAAACTCCAAACTGATACACCTATGACAGATTTACCCTTCATTAGTTTCCGTTGAATTTTACCGTTAAATTACTAAGTTAGATAACACGTGGCAGTTGACGGGTATACCAATTTGGGGTTTTACTCTTCATTTGTCACAAGTGAACCAGTTTGTGATTTTTTATGGTATTCATCCAATTTAATGAAAACTAATGGATGATAAATTTGTCACAAGTGTACCAGTTTGGGATTTTTCGTTGTTAAAAAATTAATTTGGGATAAATTTATCACATGTGTACTAGTTTTGAGTTTTTCGTGATATGAAAAGCTGTAGGAGACATTTTTGTCGAAATATCTCTCCCTTGGCGAATCATAGTGCTGATGTGGCCCAACACCTAACCATCTACTAGAGGTGAGCATGGTCAAGGTGGGCATTTCCCACCATGGAACCAAAATTGCCCACTAAGGACCGTTTCCAAAAAATTAGAACCGCGAACCGATCGTTGGTTCCATGGATCTACTTGGGATAGGAACCATTGATCCGGTACGATTCCCGGGTGAGTCCATGGAACCGGTCCCATCAAGTTTCACGCAAATGGAGGTGACCGAGAGTAAGAGAGGGAGACAATGAACGGCCGAAGGCATAACCGTGAGTTGATGGGCGTTGAGCTTAAGAGTCGAGACTATGAGTGAGAGATAAAAATACGACTCAGACAAAGTGAGAGTGAGACGGAACGAGCTCGGCGCTGAGCTCGCCCAACGGCGGCGAGGGCAGAGCTTGCCCAGCCATGGCGAGCTCCGCCCTCGCCGGCCCTCGCCGTCGCACAGCTGTGGCGAGGCTGGGCGAGGTCGCCTCGCCTTGCCCGGCGACGGCAAGCCTCCCCAGTGGACCTCGCCGGCGAGCTTCCCCCTGGCCGGACTGGCCAGGGGGAAGAAGGAAAAGAAAAAAAAAAAGAGAAAGGAAAAAAAAATTCGAAAAAAAATATTAAAATATTGCCACGTCACCGCCCGGCGCCGGCCGGCGTCCACGTCAACGCCGGCCGGCGTCCACATCAGCTTCGGCCGGCCAAAAGGACTGAATTGGCTGAATTGCAAAAGGTTTAGGACTGAATTGGCACAATTGCAAACGATTTAGGACTTTTTTGGTAATTTTACCGCTTCAATAGCGATTTAGACAAGAATTGAATTTGTGTAATGAGGATGAAGAACAATAAATTTAAAGGTAAAGAAATGCAAATATTGGAAACTGAAAATACATAAAGAATTTTTGTTAATGATCGTAAATCCTTTTACAACAGTTACACATCGCCTTTTATAAATTACAAAACATAACTGTTTAATACTCTAATGACAATTACAACCATATCTCCATAACTTTAGGTCCAATGATCGATGTCAACATCATCAACAAGCAAGCAGTTACAACTCCTTAAGTGTCACTAAGTTCAACCGTCAATCTATATCTTTGTCTTCAATCAGCAACTTCACTTCATCTCCTCCCTTTATTTCCCTACATCCTTAGCCAAATTCATTGTAACATTGGCCATGTGTTGGTTTTATCATCCAATCGATATGTTCGTCGACCATTCATCATCATGGGTAAATAGCTGTATTTTATGATCACTGATAAGTGTTTCCATTATCAATAACTTACTGATAATCAAATTGAACTTAGCACTGAGCTTTATACTCGTTCAAATTGATGTCATGTCGATTCAATGATTCGTATATATTTTTTATTTTGTGTAAATAGATGTCCCTTTAAAAAAATTAAAGATTTTTAATCCTTTTCAATATTTAAAAAGGCACAAATAATTACTTCTGACTGTTTGATTGGACGTGCATTATTGCCTGTGGCGTTTCAAAATTCACGAAGTAGTAACAATTACTTCTGTCCTCAACCCGTAGAATTTTGACACATCACCACGTTTGGCGTATCCCTCGAACCATTACCACTATGAACCGTCCGCATTTGAACCGTCCCACTTCGTCGTACAATATAAATACCCAGTGAGATTTTTTATTTTATGTTGTTCTCACTTCATCTTCAACCTCTTGCCCATACGTTCCGCACTCCTGTTTCCATTTCAGCACATTTCAAGCTCGTTTCCTTAACAAGTCTGGGACAATATTGAACAGGTAACCCTGGATATTGAGGAAAATCTGCCCATTCGTAAGACCTCCATAATAGAGTACGTGTGGTCCACTTAGGTTTGGTCGATTTATGGCTTTTCCAGCAAACAATAGGTCCATTAGAATCATTCGATCACCAGATACAAGTCTAATATAAATGTATGCACAAATTAACCGCAGCGCACACGGTAGAAACAAAATTAATCTCATGCATCTTATCGCTGCCTGAACCGCCGCCATCAACTCTTTTAATCCGGCGGCTCCGTCGAGATCTTATAGATAAACGACATGACACCTAGAGTTTCACAATCATATAGTGCAGGTCCCAATCGATTATATACCTTCTCTATGTATCTAGCTGGGCATGATTGACAAGTAACAATTACGGTCATGGCTATGTAGCTCTAGGCATTAGCCATGAAGCGAGGCGTAGCGATTGATCAAGGCCAAAGCATTACTGGTGAGATGAGCGATGGTCAGTATCTCATTCCTCACGACCGTCTTCACATTGCCGTTCATCATGCTCCCGGCAAAACCGTCGGAGCACGTGTTCTCGTCCGTGAGGGCAGCGCTCACCCACGTCTGCACGTCGTTCATGATCAGCCCGAAGTTGGAGGACCTCTTCAGCTGGCCCATCTCGTCGATGGACCGCCTCAGCTCGTCCACCGAGCTGCTCAGCTCCTCGATGCAGTCCTGTATCGCCCTGACCTCCCTTGGCTTCATCCTGCGGGCCCGGGACAGCGTCGCCATCATGGCTGAGGTCGAGCGCCCCTTGTCAAGGGTCACAGTGAGGGCGGCGCCGGCGAGGAGCTTGGGGCTCGTCTGGACGAGGCTGGCGTGGCTGGAGAGGGAGGTGTAGCACAGGCGTGGGTAGGTGGTTTTACTGCATGATGTTCTTATGAACCGGGTGTCGGTCGGTGTTTGGGCTGAGCTAATTGAGATGGTGTAGGAACATATGGCAAGGCAAAAGAGGAGCGTCGTTGCTAAATTTGCTAGAGCACTCGATCTTCCCATCTCTCTCTTTGTGACTCTGTGTGTGTTTATTGTGAGGGAGCGAGGAAGTTGAGTAGTTGAGTTGGGCTATGAAAGTGGGAAAGAAAGGTCTCCTATTTATAGGGACAGAAAAGCAAACCCCAGTTGTAAACTGAATGAGAAAAAGGTCGAAGGATGGCTAATGGGATATACATGGGCCGGTCGATGGCCCCACGAAGGCAAGGGTTTTGGAAGGAAGATGGAGACTTGAAGCTGAATGATATTTTGAGCGTCTGAGTTTAATAATCATAAAGATCTTTGGGTTGATAAATATCATGCGAGTACATTATTACAATTGATATTTTCGGCACCTCGAAGTGACCTAATGACATGTAGCATTTCACGTTCGACTTGATAGGTGAAATGGAAGGAGGTAGTACCTAGTACCTACAACTTGCATGGACAAGGTCCCATGGGTTTCAACCAGTTTTCTCGATGGTCACCTTTAGCGACCAAGTTCGCAGCGTACTGCGACTGCGCATCATCAACTTGCCCTCTTGTGGCTTCGAGAGTCCACTTGTCCGACTATAAGCATCTTCTCTCCAACATGTTTGGACTTTCTCTCTTTTTATGTACTTTTTTTGCTCTTTGGTCAGATTCCTCTCAGTCTTTTGGGCTGAGGATTGACACGTCGAGTTCTTATCTGGAGGAGAGCCAAGGGATCGAGCGTCGCTAGGATTTTCGTGTCCCCTTCTTTGGCTTAATTAAGTACTTGACCACTGGACAAGAAACTAAGTTAAAAGAGGAAAGGGAAAAAAGAAAGAAGATGCATGAGCCGAAATCTTACGCCTTTCTTTATATGGAGAGCTTGAACATGAACCCACATAGCCTAATCGCCAAACACGCGAAAAACATCCGGATAGAGCTATTCCAAGATCTGATCATTCTCGATGATTTTGCATACCAAGGATCGAAAATCTTATCATGTGCACGCGATTGTAAATGCCAATGGCCATGGATCTACTTTGAGGAAGCAGTAGAATTACGAAACATGAAGTGCATGCCTTATTTTTTTATCTCGAATTATCACTACATACGAATCTGTTGAATTTAAGCAAATCTACTTTCCCATGACCCAATGTTTCATACTATCCTACCTTTAACTATGAGATTTTTGTAACTTGATTAGTCCATTATCACATTAAACCTATATCGATTTCTATATGTGTACCCATTTGTCCAATAATTCTTCTTTTTTTGGAAGGGCCTTGATTGTGACTTTGATTGAGACCTTGATTTGGAGTGTATTTGTTTCGCAAAAAATCAATGACCTAGAAAATATTTTCTTGAATACGATCGCTTGTATCGCTTATAAAATTGAACGAACCATAATAATTTTCATTAGTCATGAAGATATTTGGACATAAATTATTGTCAGTAATGAAACATCTTTAATTGAGTAATTATTTTAAGTAATTATTTTTTTAAAAATATTTTTAAAAATATTTATTTTTTTGAGAATCAAACGGAATCTTTGCTCCTGTTTAAAAAATAACGACGTGCGAGCGTATGCTCTTCAAGACATTCTGTCGAATTATCTTTCCTTGGGAATCATAATGCTGATGTGGCCCAACACCAACCTATGTGTCGCCACATGTGGGCACAATTAACGTGGAAAAAATCCGAATTGATAGACTTTAACGAAGAAAGCGAAAGCGCTTTTTGCTTTACCTTCGATGCATGTGGGCGTGGGCCAGTCGGCCTCGGGTAGGGCCCACTTTTGTGAACGCTCCCAACCATCACGGATTCCGGCGGCCGACAATCTCACAAATAATTCATGAAGAAATCATTCTTCCTTCGTCCACTGGATTTGCATGAAAAATTGTATGGTTACGTGGGCACATGAAAGAAGGACATTATAAGTATCACAATTTTTGAACCAATTCATTTTAGTGTCAAAATTTTTTGCTGGATCACTTTAGTATTATATTGAAAAAAAAACGGTCCAGCGATGAAAAGTCTTACGTGACCTTTTTAATAATACATTAATGCCTATGTAGTAGCTTTTTTATAAAAAAGAAGAAGAAAAGAAAGTGTACCGTGGACAATGAGGTGACCCTTCGTGACAAAACCGTCTCTTCAAGCAAAACACAAGCTCTCTCTCCTTCACAACTTCACTGATCATCAGGCAAAGCAGAAGCTTCCCAGCGCAATTTTTGATTACGTAAGTCGAAGGTGAAATGGCTCGCTACAATCGGGCAATAACGATGTTCTCGGACGGCCACTTGTTTTAGGCGTTTGCCGTTTGCCGTTTGCCGTTTGCCGTTTGCCGTTTGCAAGGCCATTTGGCGGCTCCGACACTATGGTCCTCGGCGTGGAGAAGAAATCCACTGCTTAGCTCCAGGACTCCAATTTTATATAGTATTTTTCACCTTCGTCTTGGCTTTGTTGACACGAACTTGAGCACTTCTGCTTAGTCTTCTCTTCATCGCAAGATTTAGTTTTTAATTACTACTTACCTTACCAAATTTTTTTTTTTTGGGGCTTTCCATGCGTAATGACGCCGTTTAAGGGCTTTTTCATTGAATTTTACCATTTCGAATTTCCGACAAGCTACATCGACCAAGAAAACTGTTTAAAACATTATCACGTCGGATTTCTGACATTCCAAATCGAAATTGACACTTAAGCGACATGGTGAAAAATCTTAGTACTAAAGTGAGCACTACCTACCATCTCAAAATTATGGCACTTTTTGTGTCTCTTTTCCATGGAGTTCTGATTATCGGTTATGCTAGATTTCTTTTTCTTGCCCAAACTAATTAATCTTCATCCGACAAGATCTAGCGACGTTTTTCCATCCGCTATGATTCTGCATTGTCTAGCTGTGCACCAGAAATGAATATTGGGATTGAATGCAAATCTCAAAAGATATTGATCCGTACTCTACTTTGAGCTTTCATGTCCATCATAAAGAATACATAATAATAGTTTCACAAGCCATAACCAAACTTAGTTCATAAGCGAGAGGGGTGACTTTTTCACACGATTGATTGACGCGTTTATGAATATTAATGTCGACAGATTTGCAAAGGAAATGCATATTATGTAAATGGTCATGCTTTTTTTACTCTTAGTTCGACTAAAACACTCCCCAGTAAATATATTGTGACCATTTTATCCATTGTAAGTCCCATCTTTCAGCATCCTCTGTATTTTTTTAATATCCCTTTTCTTGGAATTTCTTTTGCGTGTCTCACTTTCCTTTATCATCACCCTTCTCTCTATCTCTTTGATGTTTGAGATGATTTTTACGTCGTTTTTCATGGTGGGTGTTGGATAAGTTGATTAGATTCGAATTGTTGGTTAATGTTGAGTAATGTTGTAATTTTCCTTGTGATGGATTCAGATTAATAAAATCTGAAGGTGTTTTTTTTCTTTTTCTTCTTTCATCTCTTTTTTTTTATGTTTGGAAAAAGTAGGGGGAAAATTGTCAATTCAGTCCTAAACATATTGTACGGCGGCCAATTCAATCATAAACCTTTTTAATTTTGCCAATTTAATCTTAACTTTTAAATTCTTGCCAATTCAGTCCTTCCGGTCAATTTTGGCCGGCCGGCGCTAACGTGGCCGTCGGCCGTCCGGCGTCAGCGCCGACCGGCCAAAATTGGCCGAAAGGACTAAATTGGCAAGAATTTAAAAGGTTTAGGAATGAATTGGCAAAATTAAAAGGTTTAGGACTGAATTGGCCGCCGTACATTAGGTTTAGGACTGATTTGACAATTTTCTCAAAAAGTAGGTATTGATTCATTTCTCGTTTACTGTTGAATTTGATTAAAGATTATGCTTTTAAAGATGATCTTTAGTGAGGCCTTTTGGCATTGCTGAGTTTCTCTCATTTTGGGGATTCTATTAGTTGAAGTCTTTGAAATTTAATGGGGAAGAGCGAAAAGAGAAAAACGGGTCTTTTCCGATCCTAAACAGTTTTGCTTTCACAAAGTGAAAAAATGTTTATCATCCCATTAACTTCTAACGATAAAACCTAGTGATTTCTTTGACCCTATGTGGATAGAGCATGCATTTAATTTTTTGAGTGAATTTTGAGTAGTCTTTTCATTGAAAATTTCTCTGGATTGATTTCCATTAGCCTCTTTCTTTTCTGCAATCTGTTTGGCAGAATGATTTCAAGATGCACATATTGGTTTAGTTATGGTTCAGACTTAGTAAAAGATGAAGGGTTTTTATCCAATAAACTTCAATTTTCCTCTCATTTCAGTAGGTTTATTGAAACTTTTTTACCATTTTGTTTGCAGTTCTTGATAAAAACAAGTGGGCACGCCAAAATGCATTTTCACATATTAGCCAGTAAAGTCTATTGGTGGCGGTGCAAAATCTAGTTGAGTCCCCGTGTTATATCGGGTTGGTTTTGAATAGAGAAGGCTTCCAATGTTGCACAATCACCAATTAGACCTAGAAAATATCATTCGACTGAGTTACGTGCTTTTATGGAGGTGATTATTGTTGCATTTTCTCTACAAGAGAGAGAAAGAGAGAAAGATGCATAAAGGTGGGATGAAGAGAAAGGAAAATGGGACCCGCAAAAAAAAAAAACCAAAACAAGACATAGAGGGAAGGTTTAAGATATTAAAATGTATGACCCACAATGGGTGAAATAGTCCAAAACACTTTGGTGGGGAGTGTTTTAACCAAATTAGGAGTGGAAAAAGCGCAACCCTTATATAAATTGGTTTTTTTTAGATTGTTAAGACATTGGGATGACATGAATAGACACGAGCTCATAATCCAAATGAAGCTTGCGATCGTGAATTGACGTCCTTATCGGTAGTTTATATATATTGACGTGGGGCACTTTAAGATTGATTTTTTGGTTTGTTATTTCATAGATTTAGGATTTTGTTAATCAATGTTTTCTTTCTTTGTTTAACTAATTTTACAAATTTTAGAATTTTTTCTGATATCTTAGATGATTTAATTTTCAGTTGTAGTAATAATCCCATTAGGTTTTAGATTTATATCTAAGATTTAGTAGGAAAGACTTTCTTATTAATTTATCTATTTCCTATTCCAAAATTAAAATTTAATTAGATGTTTTTACATATAAATGTCGCATTATGTTTTTTTTTTGTAAGGTAGCTAATTTCTTGATGACTTATTGAAAAATCGAGATTTTTTGTTGTTGTGCTTGGCGCATGTGCGCTATCATATTTGTTACAATCTTCTCTTGTGTTTTGGATTTGTCATTCATGTTATCATCAGTTTTTGTTGCGTCATAAAGAAAAAGGGAAAATAACACAAATGACCCCTGAACTTTTGTTAAATATGTAATATTGTCCCTGAACTTTTAATTTATTCAATGTGACCTATGAACTATAGCCCAATTTGCAAAGCAGTCCTTGGACTTTTAATGTGTTCAATATGATTTCTGGACTTTTGGTAAATATTCAACTCAGTTCCTAAACTATTGAAAATGTTCAATGCAGTTCCTGAACTTGAATTAATGAAAGGAAAATATTGAATATTTTCATATAGTTCAGGTCCTAAGTTGAACATGTACCAATAAACAAATTAAAAGTTCAGGGATCACATTGAACATATTAAAAATTCAGGAGCTACATTATAAATTAGATTAAAGTTTATGGATCATATTATATCAATATCCAGATATATATATACACATAGAGCGCACGCGCTCTATGTGCCCTTTTGGTCCTTACATAAGCTCTCTTTTTCTTTCTTCTCTGATCCCTTTCTCCCTCATTCTCCTCTTTTAGGCTTTAAGAGTGGAGTGGGGGAACAAGAGGGGACCCGACCAATAATGTTATATAAGGCCATAATGATTGAAGGGATTTGCAGTTTTCTTAATATTATATTTGAACAATAAAGTAAAAAGTAAAAAGTAGAGTCGTAAAGTGATGATTAGGAAGATTGAGGTTAATTGAAGTTAATAGCGCCCGGTGTAACAGAATTATCAAAATCATGAGATTATTCCATCTTGGACTATTATATTTTTTGAAGGACAGCCCGGATGAACATTTCCGAGACCTGCAGAATCTGAATTCTTTTCAATGGCGTGGACGATAAACACAAATAGATATGTTCGATTTGTGGGGCTCGGAGAGATTTGCCCATACTCTGCAAGTAATTATTCAAATGCAAACAGATTTATTAGATTTGAAAACTTAGGAATGAAAGGCTGCATGCATGACTCTATTGCCACAGCGCTGAAAAGAAATGTTATAGGTACTGGACCTTTGTTACGAAATTCCGTTCCTCAAATGGTTTAACTCGTTGTGTGTTCAAACAAAATGATCGATTTATTTAAACATTTAATCCAAGGTTGTCACGGCGATGTTGGGTTTGGTATGTCTGGTGAAGTTAAGCCCCACGAGTGCGTTGTAATAGTCGGGTCCGATGTACCTCATGTCTTTAGTGATATAGCCAGTCTTGCCTTTGCGAATAAAATTAATGCTTTCGTAGGTATGAACTATGAATGGCAAGGGCCAGCAACACAAGAGCTACATATTGCTCTACCATGTTCGAAAATGATTCTCTCCTTTTCACATTCCTGATCCAATTTGTCCTCCTCCATGTTCCGATGCATGTGGATCAACCCCACCTTATCTCTCGCTTTTGGCTGTGCATTCTCTCTTCTTCATCACCGTTCAATCATTTTTTGAGGGCCGGAAGAGCCCTCCAAGGAGCCCCTCACATTGTCCCAAACTCCCAGTTTCATGCTACCCCTCTATAAGGAGGGCTTCTAGGCCTTACCATTTGAACCCTGACCAAAAACACGCACGTATTTTCTGTTGTTTCAGTTCAGCAATTAATGATCTCTCCCTCCATGGAATCTTTTACGTGTAAAAGCCAGCCCTCTTCCTCTCCTTCCAACATCCCAAGGCTTGCACTTGCAATTTCAACCGCCACCATCATCTTCATTCTATTCTCAATCGCGCAACCATGCTTGGCCTCATCAAGGCTGGACCGCTTGTCATCCAACACCGAGTTCATCAAGAACTCGTGCGGGTTCACCATCTATCCGGACGTGTGTTACCAAACGCTCTCCTCCTACGCAAGCACCATCCAGACGAGCCCTGAGGCGATGGCCAATGCGGCCCTGTTGGTGACCCTCCAGAGCGCGCAGTCTGCTTCTGACATGGTGTCCAAGTTGTCGAAGGCCGGTGGCCTCAGCCAGAGAGAAGAGGGGGCGGTGATCGACTGCGTCGAGACCATGAGCGACTCGGTCGACGAGATCCGCCAGTCGTTGGTCGCGATGAAGGGTCTTGATGGCCCTGAATTTGAGACCAACATGAGCGACATACAGACTTGGGTGAGTGCTGCTTTGACCGACGAGGACACTTGCATGGATGGATTTCAAGAGGGCGGGCCTAGTGACAATAATAAAGTTAAAGGGCCAATTAGAGACAGCATTGTGAAGGTTGCTCAGTTAACTAGCAATGCTTTGGCTCTTATTAATAGACTCCAGTAGTCTAATCGCCACTTTCTCTAGTCGTAAGTTAAAATCAGTCGCCATGTTCTCTAGTGTGATGTTACATATCATCCATGTAGAGATTTGTGATATTGCTTTTGTTGGCCCAAACGATATGGCCTTATGAAGATAGTTAATTGTAAACAATGCAGGAGGGATACATATTTACTAGACACGCTCCAAATATGAAATTTCTATTAGATACTCTTGATGGGTACATGGATGCTCTTGTGGTATACCGAGATGAGTCGTGTTCGATACCTTTTCGTTGAATCAACCATTAGTTGGGGTACCTATTAATCCAGCGGAAAAGACATGCAAAGCCAGTACGGATGATTCGGGGTCTTGGCCCATCCGCCACCGCCGATCTAATCCACTACTGACATTCCATTACTTTAATGCCACACTTGGTTACAAGCTCAATTTGCTTGCCATGGCATGTTCAATACCTTTTTGCAGTAAAGGTAGTAATTGATATTAGGAAATCGATCGATTTTGCATCCGAAAATTGACAAACACTATTGCCAGAAATTTTGATCGAGTGAGACTGCCGCTTCTCAAGTCTATGCCGATAATGAATCTTTTTGAATGCCCATGAAAACGCAAAGTTAAAAATTCAGAGAGCGAGAATGCCCCTTAACAGCTTATTATGTTGTGGATTTCATAGGTTATTTAGTTAGGCAAACCTTAGTTATCAATAATGATGACTATGATGGGCGAGGTTGGCCTTCGACAAAGCCAATCCTTTGTCCAAATCAGTGCAATTATGAAAGCGACTATTCCCTAAATCTACTCGTCGCATGTGAGTCCAGTCTTGAATAAATCCAAGAAATTCGCTGTAATCTTTCTATATCAAAAATACAAAACGTCAAGGTCAAGAGAACTCTAGATTTCGAACCATTGTTGTCACACACACGAACAGAACTCAATAATCAAAGAAGTAAATAAATGGCGGAAAATGCGAAGAACCTAGATGCCCGAGGAAACTCAAGCAAAACCACATTTCGTCCGTTGAAACAAAGATTTTTGCAAACTATAACTCGAGACAGACGAGCAATGATATGCGGACACATATGAAATGCATGGTGCATGTTTATGCACGAGTCAACAACTATTTATCAAAGGTCTGGTTTTTTGTGTCAACTAAAAATTGACGGGATAATTACCAAAAAAAGTCATAAACCTATTGTACGGATGCCAATTTAGCCCTAAACTTTTCTATTTGGCAAACTTAGTTATAAACCTTTTAACGATTTGTCAATGTAGTTCTAAACCTTTCAATTATGCCAATTTAGTCCTAAACATTATAACGATTTGTCAATTTGATCATAAACATTTTGACGATTTGTCAATTTAACCTTTTCGGCCAATTTTGGTTGAAAATAGATGACGTGGTGGTCTAGTAGCACTGATCGTCCTACGTGGCACAATTAGCTCTGGCATGGAAAATTTTTACATTTTTTTAACTTTTCTAGATATTTTTATAAAATTTTTGAGTTTTTTCTTTTTCTTCTCTTTCTTGTTTTCTGTATCCTTCTTCCTCTGGGAGGTGTGGCCTCACTTTGCCTGTGGCCTGGCAAGGATCGAGCCTCGCCAGCCATTGGTGATGTCAACCTCACCAACCCGGCGAGGGCGAGCCCAGGCTTGCCCCCAGCAAGGTTGGCCTTTGCAACCTTGGGCAAGGATCAAGTCTTGCTAGCCTTACCCTTGTCAAATCTGGCGAGAGTTGAGTCTCGCCCAGCAATAGCAAGTTTGAGCCTTGCTAGATCCGGTGAAAGCGATCATCGCCAAGGCCCAATGACTAGCCAGAGGAAGAAGAAAAGAAAAAAAGAAGAAGATGAAAATCATTGACGTGAAGATGTGCTGTGTGGAACAGCCAGCGATGACTTGACCACGACATCAGCCATTTCCGATGACAATTGACCAAGATTATTACATTAGAATTTTTCTAAAAATTTTATGACTAAGTTGATAAAATTGAAAAGTTTAGAGATGACTAATTAGATAATATTCCCTACTAACTTTGATGCCCATTGAAGATCCCCGGAAACACTTGAAGCCTGGAACGTTGGATTGCAAGTACTCGATGCGATGGTGTCATTAGTGGACCGAGTCCATTAGCGACAAGCAATTAGCAGGCCCAATGGTCGGCGATTCATATCATAGGCTTGAAATTTCGTTGCAAAAAACCCGCTTTGTCGCGAAAGGTTGGTGGCCAAAGCCTCGTTTGTTTCAGAGGCCTTCGCAACGAAATCTAGAATGCGTTCTATTCCGTCCTCTGATTTTCTTCTGCTTGGGCAAGCAGCTTCCAATAATACACATCTTACTCATTCATTGTTATTTATTTTTTCAATACAACTGAAAAGCTTATGACATAGAAAACCTATTGAGATAAACGTACGGTTTATTTTGTTCACTAATTTCGCTAGACGCTTGTTCTAAACTGATCTTCAATTGGTTCATCCTCCATAACTTTGGCTTTATATCTAAGTTTGTGGCGCATACTTCTCCTCCCAAATTTATATGGAAGGTAACTTCTGGGGACCTTCTACAAGAAACTTTTTTTCTTTACTTGAACATCGTGAGAATTACCAAAAACATCTTCAACCTTTTGCAATCGTGACAATTCAATCCTAAACCGTTTTTGGGGGCCAATTGAGTTCTAAATCTTTTGTATTATGTGAATTCAGTCCATCTGGTCAATTTTGGCCATCTGGCGCTGACGTGGATGCTGGCCATCCTACATGGCGCAGCCAGTGTTATCATGAACATTTTTAATAATATTTTTTTATTTTTTAATATTTTTTTTCCTTTTTTCTTCTTCTTTCCTTCATCTTCTTCTTCCAGCCAGTCGCCGTCGGCGAGGTTAGCCTCGCCATGACTGGGGAGGGCGACCCAGCCAGGCCGAGGTAGACCTCGCCAGATCTATCGAGACTCGGCCTCGCCCAGCCATGGCGAGGTCAAGCTCGTTGTCGCTAAGCGAGGCCAAGCCTCGCTTTTGTGGTGAACAAGATCCGAACAACCACCACCACCACCAACTTCATCAACCTAAAAAATGCCCCAAATCCTCCGGCGCTAAAACCCTAATCTCACTCGCCTCTGTCAACCACCACCACTTTGACGGGAAAATTGTAAAATCAGTCCTAAACCTATTGTACGGCGGCCAATTCAGTCCTAAACCTTTTAAGTTTGCCAATTCAGTCCTAAACCTTTTAAATTCTTGCCAATTGAGTCCTTCCGGCCAATTTTTGGCCGGCCGGCGCTGACGTGGCCGCCGGTTGGCGCCGGCCGTCCGGTCAACGCTGACGTGGCAATTTTTAATTATTTTTTTCAATTTTTTAATCTTTTTTTTTCTTTTTCTTTTTTTTTTTTTTTGCTTTCTCCCCTCTAGCCGATCCGGCGACCGCCGGACCGGCCAGAGGGGAGGGCCGGCGAGGCCTCTGGCGAAGCTCGCCCAGCCGGGCACCGGCGGGGGAAGCCTCGCCGGCCCCTGCCTGGGCGAGGCGAGGCAAGGCGAGGTCGAGCCTCGTCGTCGCCTGGGTCGCGACGGCGAGGTCGAGCCTCGTCATCGCCTGGGTCGCGACGGCAAGGCTCGACCTCGCCTCGCCTCGCCTCGCCCAGCCAGGGGCCGGCGAGGCTTGCCCTCGTCGGTGGTCGGGGGGGCGAGCTTCACCAGAGGCCTCGCCGGCCCTCCCCTCTGGCCGGTCGCCGGACCGGCCAGAGGGGAGAAAGCAGAAAAAAAAATAAGAAAAAGAAAAAAAAAGATTAAAAAATTGAAAAAAAATAATTAAAAATTGCTACGTCAGCATTGATCGGACGGCCGGCGCCGGCCGGCGACCACGTTAGCGCCGGCCGGCCAAAATTGACCGGAAAGACTCAATTGGCAAGAATTTAAAAGGTTTAGGACTGAATTGGCAAACTTAAAAGGTTTAGGACTGAATTGGCCGCCGTACAATAAGTTTAGGACTGATTTGACAATTTTCCCCCACTTTGACAATGGCTAGATCTTCCCTCGCGGTGGTGCCTCACTACCTCGACCCCTCATCCCTCCCCCCGGTCATCATCCTCAATTGCATTGAGGATCAAGCAGTCCTGCCTCGTTGGCGTCGCCTCTGTCGAGATCGTCCCCCTCAGTCGCCTCGCGTCCTCTGACCGCACCATTGACTCCACCTCCGCCTCCACTGTCCTCCTCCGCCTTCGCCGTCCTCCTCCACTCCCTCGCCATCGCTGGGCGAGGCATGACCTCGCCAGTGGCTGGTCGTCGAGGTCTAGTGACTAGCTGGAGGAAAAAGGAAGGGAAGAAGAAAAAAGAAGAGAAAGAAAAAAATAAAAAAAGAAAAATAAATAAATCGAAAATATTAAAATTTTATTTAAATATCCATGTCAGCGCCGATTGCGCCATGTCAACACCGGTTATGCCACGTTAGCGCTAGCCGGCCAAAATTAGCCGGATGGACAGAATTGGCACAAACGTAAAAGATTTATGACTCAATTGGTAAAAAAAAGTTTATGAGTAAATTAACACAATTGCAATACATTTAATACTTTTTTGGTAATTCTCCCCTTGAAAATCTAATGACGTAATTCGAAATTGAATTTCCAGAAAATGAACGTCTATAGTGAATATAACACAGCCTTATGAACCATATATCATGGAAATCTAACTCGTGATGAAAGGAAATATCATAGCATAGCAATGTCAACCTTAGATCAAAATACTTCACTCGGTGATGGAACTCCATTCCATCATAAAATTCGCAAAAAAGGACCATCCTAAGTGCAATAACAACGCACTTTCTTCTAAAAATTTTCTTTCGTCGATTGTCTTCTCATAATTCACCCTATGCTTAAAACAACGTGTAGGTGTGGGCATGGAGTGGAGCACATGCTCGATTTTCTACATGACCAAGTACAAACAATGTCATTTTCGAACTAGCTATCGGCTAAATCCTATCGAGCTTTGACTTGTGTCTCGTCTCGTACATAAAATAAACTGGGCATTTCTTGGATTTGAGACTCATCTATTCCAGTGGGTTTCTTGTGAGAAAAATTACATGTGTTATTGTGTTAAGATATTGGATGAAACATATGACCAATGTCGTTTTTGTAAATGTTTTTCCTCACGCTTGGCACCATTCTTCTAGTTTACTGGAGAAAGCCGAGCAGTCTCTCTGGATAATCAATCGTATAAATAGTTTAGTATT